CCATTTTTTTTGGGGAAGAAATTTTCCGAAAACTTTTCATTTTTTAAATCTTTTTTTTTTTTTTTTTTTTTCTAAATCCCATCCCAGATTTTTCCAACTCATTTTAGCTAGCTTGATATCAAGCTAAATGACAACAAGTGTCATCTGAGGGCACTTGGGCACTTTGATTCCCACCCAATTGTGTTCCATATAATTTACTCCAAAGTACATTAAGCTTGAATCAAAATCAGTTGAGCATACGATGCTATACGCAAGACGTTCTCTGTAAAGAAGCCCAGGTGATTGGAGATTGAGTGGTGATTCAAATGATATGACATCAGTGTTTTGTGGTCATGTATTTTTAATGCACTGGATCACAGGCAGTTAATCCAGATACAAATTGATTATAAAGCACACATCCCCAACCCTATTGCACAGACTTAATACCAGCAGTAACACTTAGTTGTTGTTTTTTGTCCAGAAGAGAAACACAACTAAGCTGATGAGCACTGAGCTGGTAGTAAAATCTTTGGGATAAAAAAAAAAAAGAGATTAACATAGCTGATGGCAGCAATAGCTCAGCTGATGCCCTTTTCCATGAAGTTGACCCAGCTTAATACAGAAACACTGGGCCCAGTGGAGGTTCTGTGGAGATAAAAAAAACAAAACAAACAAAAAAACCCCCAAGAGATAAAGTTTTTTTTGCAGCAATAACTGGAGATAATGGAGAATAATTGGAAAAAGAAGAGCAGTAAGGACAAATGGCCCAAATGTCCTCCAGCAGCCCAAGCTAAGAGGAGCGTAACTATAGAGATAGTTTCAAGATAACCGAACACAATCTAACTATAAGCTGAATATGACGTTACAGAGGAGAAGGGGGCGTCTGCACCAGACTAAAACTGGAAATCAGTTCACTGGTTTACAACAAATGTAATCTCGGTTCTCTAACCAAGGAAATCACATCAAATATATGGACAGAAATATATAATTATTTTAAAGTTTGATCCTGGTTGTAACACAATTATGTCTATTTCTCTTCTAAACAGGAAAGATGAAGCCAAACAGAGAATATATATATATATATATATATATATATATATATATATATATATATATATATATATATATATATATATTCGGCTCAAAAAAATAAAGGGAACACTCAAATAACACATCCTAGATCTGAATGAATGAAATATTCTCATAATACTTTGTTCTGTACAAAGTTGAATGTGCTGACAACAAAATCACACAAAAATCATCAATGGAAATCAAATTTATTAACCAATGGAGGCCTGGATTTGGAGCCACACACAAAATTAAAGTGAAATGTTCCCTTTATTTTTTTTGAGCAGTATATATATATTTAAAGCATGGCTCCTGGTTACTTTCAGCTTAGTAATCTTGGCAGAAGTTTGGACACCATTGATCTTTAAAGAGAGAACATGTAGTTACTGGCAGCAACGGCTCAGCAAATGGCCCCTCCTCCCCCAGGACAGTGACACTGCTAACCACAGTAATGCTGGTCCAGATGTCTTTTTTTTTATGAGTGAAACTGAAGCGAAGAGGCTGTTGACTGAAAGATCTTGAAGTTGTATTTGATCAATTGGGGAGAAAGGAAACTGTTTGGTTCAGCTGAAAACAAAAAAGATAAAACTGAAGAAACATGATCTCATGCTGTGCCATTTTGGATGAACTGACTATTTTTTGATAAAAAAAAAAAAAAAAACGAATCCTGCTGCTTGTAACAAATGGATGGACTAGTTTTTCTGTAAAAAATAAAATAAAATTAAAAAAAAGCGGCACGTTGCCTCATCAATGTTAGTTTTGCCAGAGCAAGATTCATAAAACTTGTTGTAACTCTTTCATTTTTGATTTGATTTTTTTTTTTTTTTTGTGCACACACTCTGCATAAGCTCTTTGCTCCGTACACGGTGAGGAAAAGAAATGCTAATTTCACAATTAGCTTTTCCGTAATTAGTACGGAAAGGTAATTGCCGCGGATGTGCAATTAGCATTATGTAAAGTGCTTTTCCCCAGACGTAGGGGCCAATCAGTTTGCCCCTTTTACCTTTTCTGTTCTGCAAATGATTCTGGAGATGCTCGGCACCAAACGCCAGAGAACTTCCTCCTCGCCTTCCTCTCCAGTGAGTGCGATTCACAAAACTGAATCAGCTGGGGTCACATGCTCTGCGGATAAGAGGGTTCAGGAAGTTTCTCTTTGCGTCTCCTTTTCATTTGCCTGTGAATGTGAACGGAGGAGAAGAGGGAAATCACTGTCATAGCAGCCGTTGCAGCACAAAGCCTCCTGATTGCATTCTGGACTCTGACGCGCCTTTTTTTTTTTGTTTTTTTTTTCTCTCCAGGGAAAGCAAATGTTCCTGCACAGCATGACTGACTCATTGCCTGATTTTTTTTCCTCTCTCTATCCTTGCTGCTCATACTTTTTAGTTCACTTCTTTTTTTTTTTTTCTTTTTATGTTCACGCTTCAAGGTTTTTATTGGGACTGATAAATACAATTATCAACAATTGGTGGTTAGAAATAATGAAAAGTTGTTTCTTAAATATTATTATCAGCTACCTGCTGTGTAAAGCTTCTAATATATAATTTTTCTTTGCAGGTTTTAGGCATCAGAATAGCACCGTATCTCACCTTTTCCAACTACTGGACAGCAATAAAGATGGCAGGTGAGTTATATGCTAATCAAAGAGAGTCCAAAGGTTCGAAAAGCCTGGAAACAAATTTGATGTAGGGCCGCTGCTCTTTGCCAAGGCTGCCATCCACCAGCCATCTCTGAGGCTCTGAAATCTTCTACTATTAAATCTTTATCGTTTTGAACTCTGTATCCTACACATCCTACTTGATTAAATAAATTAGACAGTATGCTGATCATGTATCCTATTAACTACCTGGACAGAAACCTGTTTCATACAAATCAATTTTTATGTTTCACAAAAATTCAGTTGGGATACTTTTTTGCTTTTCAAGCTATAAAAAAACTTTTTTTTTTTTTTTCCCCTACAGTGGATCTTGAATCTTTATGACATGGGTAGCAAAAAACGTTTTTTGTTTTTGTGTTTTGTTTTTAAACTGTACATGTCTTGTTAAATTATGAATTAAATGTCTTTGACCTCATGTTTTTGTAGAGTAAATTTAACAGCTTTACTTACCATCTGACCTATAGAGTCGCATAATAATAAGTCACCTAAATGGACGAACCTATGTGACAATGTAACGTTGGCTAAAAGATCTCAAAAGGCAGTGCGATCTAAATACATTTAAGAATGAATGAAAAGCAAGGTTATTGTGAAGGATTAGTCTAGAAACTGTCACATCTCCATATTTAGGGCTTTCTTACATTAGAACACCAGTGAGAAACTTTCTCACAGTGGCTGGCCGACCAAAATTACACTAAAAGCGTATTAATCACTCATCCAGAAGGGTCACAAAAGAACCAGGAGCTACAAATAAAGCATTGCAGACCTCACTTTATTCAGTTACAATCAGCGTTCATGATTTCTCGGCACGAAAGAGATTGAGCATAAATGGTATCCATGTGAAAGTACCAAAGCCAAACCCAAAAGCAAACCCATTGCTGACCTAAAAGAACTCAAAGGCCTTCTTAAAATTTACCTCGACAGTCCTCTGCACGGTTTCTCTTCACAGCAGTCCAGACCCTCATGTTCCTCACTTTACCAGAACATGCATGTAAAAAAACAAACAAAAAAAAATAATAATAATAGTGCTTAAGCCAACAGAAAGACTTGGAATAGTAAACCATGTGTGCTTCAAAACATATGCATGCAAAAACAATCTCCTCATGCAGCAATTCCTATGTAAGAAAAATATGCCTGTTTGTGCATTCTTGCAGTTGGATGTTATTCTGCCTCTCCGGCCTCTGTTCACAGCTCAGAACCCCTTTATCCACTCAATCTCCCTCTGTCTGAATTCTTGAGTCTCTCTCTCTGAGCTGTGCTTAAGCACACATATTACTAAGCTGTCAGTTGGTGGACTTTGTGAACTAGCCATCGTTATGCACCACATGCATTGATGTTGATCTGAATAAGGCAGAGATTATGTTTTCATCCACTGCATTACTGCTTAGGTCTTGTACGTCTCTCCAACTCAAAGTGTCAACCCTCGTTTAGCTTCTCCTCTGATAAATGCAATGTCACAAATTATACCTAATACTCGCAGTTGCCAGGCAATTTGCTTCCTCGATTAGCATGCGTGCTGCATGCTTTTTATGTTGTACAAAAAAAAAAAAAAAAAAATTTTTTTTCTGGGTTTTTCCCCCATGCCCCTTAACTAAATGTTCCTCAATTCTTAATCTGCTTCATTGGAATTGCTAATTATGTTTAATGCAGATTCACAGATAATTATTCTCTCATTTATACTGTGAACTAATCTCATTTTCGTGTCCATTTACTCACCAATAATTGCCTCACGACAAAGACCGCAGCCATTGATTTTCATAAAGTTTTGAACACATTTTAAATCACATTAAGACATTTCTGCAAAACATCCTCATTAGAATCAGTAATGCATTTTGATATAAATTAGCACTGAATAAATATTTCATTCGAGTCGTCATCAGGTTGCTTTTAAATGGCCCCTTCTGAAAACTTCCTAAAAAGATAGTTTGCAAGTTATGAAGTCGGATTTGTGAAAACGACATGAGTAGGGAGTAGCTACGCTGCTCTGTCCTTGACTCATTGTCTGAAGGATCGTAGGTACACTCAAACGTCTTTACAACTTTGACAGTCTCCGATAACCATTGACGTGTCTGTACTGCCTGAATTTCCTAAATAAAATAATAATTAAAAGTTTGTCATAAAAGAACTTTACTACAGGGATAGGGTGTCAACTCATAACATCTCCACAGAACCTTACGTAAATATATACATATCCTTTTAAACCACTTGACCATTTTGGCAAGGAGTCTATGCATTCTGGACAGTTTTAGAAAGGTATGAGAATGTTGTACTTATTTTCCAGGTTTGAAAAGGCACGCGGACAATATAGTCTTGAATATCAACACTTTGCCCTAACCCATTGTCTAAAGGTTATGTCTGTCCCTCTTCCCATTTGTACATCCATGATTCTGTCAGTTTAATCACTGAACTGTCTCTCCTTTCTTTATGTTTATCTTTTCAAACTGGCGTAATATGGCTGACAACTCTGGAAATTTGAGACTCAAAAACAACTTTGAGACGTAAAATCCCTAAATGAGGGGGTAAAGACTCGTTGGTCACGAATGTAGGCCTCACAATCGTTTCATCCCAGAACCTTCCCATGCAGCACACACAGGCACAACCCACTGTGCCAGCTGGCAGGCAGTTGGCAGCCCAGTGCAGGATTAACTGGTACTAGTATGCTGGCCTATAAATAGAGTCTACCAACTGCTTCAGGAAATGAACCATGATGGAGCCTCCCAAAGGCCCACGAACAGGATGTGCTTTTTATCCTCTCCCCCCTCTGCATGGATTTATCACTGCCTGCATCTGCGAGCTCGGTAATATTCATTACCGACTTCCATAGAGAAGCCTCCGAAAAGGGGTGCACGTCACAAAACGCCTGCTTTTATGCTGCAGCGGTCTATATATACGTGCAAATGCCCTGCGTGATTGGAGCCGAAGCCAATTTACTTCACACGGGATTTACAGAGCCGTTGTTCTGCAGCCTGTGTGCCGTCCTCACAATGGTGAAAGGCATTGTTTCTCTCCGGCACTCACCCTGAGCATTGATCTTCTGTAGGCTGAGCAGACTATTCGCTTTGTATGTTTGCCTGCCTTAGTTGACGCGCTCCGGGGATTGATTCTGGCTATGCAGTCATTATCTGAGCTCAGAGGGGGCAGTTTGGCTGTAACCTCTGGAAGGAAGACACAAGCATGGGAAAATGGTTAATGACAAGAGTTTAGTGTTGTGGGAAAAAGAGTTGGCATGTATGTATGTGTGCGTGTGTGACTTTACAGTGTGGTGCATTGTATTGTGAAATCAGGACAAAGGTATGAACAGTGTGCAACATTCTCGATATTAGCTGTAAATAGGTTAATTGAACTGTAAGAAATTAGTATCTGCACTTAGTTAATTGCCAACTCTGGTTTTGCAGTTCAAAAGTGAGGACAGGTCTTCTTTTTGTAAAATAGTGTGTTTGCCTCTATTTTAAATCTCTAGATTTAAAATATATAAAACAATATATTTTTAACTGGAATCATATTGAAACAAGCGGTGTTTTTCAGTATAACAGTCTAGTACCTAGGAATGTTCAACACGTATTGGTGAAATCAACCAAACTGTTCAATGGAATACTAATATGATGCATTTTTAAACCCTCAGTATATCGTTGGATGAACTCAAGGCTAAAGTGGTGCTTGTCCATGATGAGACGAGGGTTCTCTCCGAGGATGAGGCACTGGTAAGCTATTTTTAAAATTCAGTAACACAGTTTTCTTCAAGGTTTTCCATGCAGGCTTCACTTCGTGGTTAAACTTTCCGTAGGTTGTTTTAAATTGAGGTTGCACTTTCTTTTAATTTTATTTGAAAGCTTCCCCCCACCACCTTTAGACATTTTAGATAAGAAAATTAACTTTGTAGGTGTTCCTAATAGTCTTTTCCACTGCCGTTTATGCAACATTTAAGTCATTTTTGTGCCGGTTACAAGGGAAATAAGTATCTGTTACCATGTAAACCCAGTGAGAAACAGTCTGGCAGCAATAAAACCGAAGTAAAATGACAATATTTCTGAGTATTTATAGAGTCTTCCCTATTGCCACTGATTTGTCTCCAAGCATACAGCACTTGAGTCTGCAAAGCCTTACTTATTTTAATGATGATATTACATAAACAAGAGCTGGCACTGATGGTGATTTGTCGTATTTACTTTTGATTAAATTAACTAGTGATTTCTTATATTGGCCAATGAAAATATATTTGTCTTTAAAAATGAAAATGCTATCTATTTACCAACCAGATGTAAATTAAATTCATAAAAAGCGCAAAGAATGACTCGAGGCAATTTCAAGTGCGAGACAACCACTATGAGTTAGGGAGCCTCTTACAATATGACACAAATATAGAGAAGTCTTCCTTTTTTTGTGATTAAGGTCTTAAATCAGACTAAACTTTACTTGTTTTAGGTCTGTAAGTAATGATAACATTATTTGCATTTCCTAAATTCCTAATTAATATTGCAGATTTTTTTTTTTATTACCTTCTTCAAACTCGTAGGTTTACAGAAAATAGCATTATGCCTTCCAACAGTTTGGGAAAGCCAGTGATGTTATGTCTTTGTAAACACCTGACGGGTTGCTTTACGTAAGAATTAAAGAGAGGAAGAACTTTAGCAGACAGATTCCTTTTGGGATATTATGGAAAAATCAAATGAAGTCTGGGAAAATATCCGGGGGAGAATCGTTGACCTCTACTGGTCTGGTTAACGCTTCGGCACAACTTTGAGGTAGCTGAAGGTGCCGCGTTCAACTCTGCCAACAATTATAGGCCGGAACAAACAGCATGGAAATGTCTGGTCATGATACGTGACAGGAACACGGCTCTGTGTTCCAGAAAATAACGTGTTTTGGTGTGGAAATTGTTAATAGGCAGTAGAACAAAAGCAAAATACATTTAAGATGCTGCTGAATGCGATTCGAGTGTCATTGCCAACAGTGAAATGTGTCCTGCATTGACATCAGAAGAATAGGATCTCGGCGAGGAACAGTACCTTGATTTTTGGAGACGTGCTGAGGACCGATGAAACCAAAATGTGTGTGTTTGACCATGATGGCTGCTGTTACATTTGAAGGAATAAAGTTGGGAAACTTGCAAAAATGAGAACCCCATCCCAACCGTGAAAATAACTTGTTTTGGTTACTAACTTTGTTTGCGGTGTGGGCCCGATCATGTGTGGTTGCTACGTTATAAATAACATAATGAGGAGTGAACATGATGTTACATCTTACATGATCAACAATTCCTATCAAGTGGTGCTACTAGTAACAAAACGAAGTCAATGTTTTGGAGTGGCCATCGCAATTCCCTGATCCGAGTCTCACAGAAAATATACGGACCGGGCTGAAAAGAGAGTAAAGTGGCCTACAGATCTGACTCGGTTCTGTCGGACTGGGCCGGTACTCCAGCAAACTGTTGTGTGAAGCTTGTGGAAGGAAACCCAAAATCTTTGAACCAGAGAAAAAAAAAAAACATTTTAACAGACAATTCAACCCAACACTAATGAGAAGTTGGTGGACTTCCAAAGTTAAAGATAATAAAAAAGAAAAACTCATTATTCTAACATTTAGCAAACAAGACATTTTAGTTATCCTAAATGACTCTAACAGTTAAATATCTGGTTTCTAACTTTTAGATATTTTTATATCTAAACTTTATAACTCATGGGTAGAACTTGGCGAAGGGTAGAATTGACCCAAATCCTAATAAAAGCAGCATTTGGTAAACCAACATGGATAGAGGTTTTACCTGTCTGCTCACTTTTAAAATACAGTTTGTCCTTCTTTTTTTTCTTTTTTTTTTCTTTTTTTACAAAAAGAAAAAAATCAAAACAAAAACAAAACTGAAGTATCATTCTGAGCTGATTCTCTAATGGCATGATTATCCAGCAGCCTTGATGAAGGATTAGAAGTGGTTGTAGAAAATGTAGCTTTTGCGGTGGATTTGTTTACCTGGTCATTTTTAGAGCTCCAGGGAGGTTTTAAGTGGGAGTGAGGGGAAAATTGCAAGCTGCTATATGTATGGCATGTATTTATTATTATTATTATTATTATTATTATTATTATTTTATTTTTATTTTAGGAAACTTTCTGTCTGGGTACTCCATTTTGAATGTTGTCTCTGCTTGTACAAGTTGATTTCCTTCACACTCATTTCAATTCTGAACAGGACGAGCGCGGCTTCCCAGTGATGATTTAAAAAAAAAAATAAAAAAAATAACTTTTTCCTCAAGCTGTTTTTGTGCGGGAATGTGTCTGTCTGTTTCGCTTAAGACTCGTTGATCCCCCGTTTTACGAGGCGGCACATAACAAGATGTCTGCGTGTAAACAAAGCGGCCCAAACTTCCTCTTCTTGTCCTTTTCTTTTATAAATTACAACATTCATGAGGACCACATAAATCGCACACACACACACGCACGCACGCGCGCACACACACACACACACAAACAAAACCACAAAACAGAGAAGCGTCAGAGCTCTGACCTGCATGAAAGTCTCACAGATGAGAAAAATCTGTCTGTGTTAAATTTTCCTGGTAAATGGGAAGACATCCTCAGTGAATTCAGCTGCATCCTGAAGAGGACGAATTAGTAGAAAGGTTCATGAATATGAAAATGTGTGCTTAACTGCAACCACAGCAAACTGTAATCAAGCTGGGCAAATTAAACAGGCTGCCATTAAACAAGCAATTTACATTAAAACTGACGAGGGGCTCAGTGTGTCAGACCCTATAATCAAAGTTGGGGCCTACAGGGATCGTATCTTTAGAGGAAGTTAATTTTTAACTGTTTTGGCAATGCTCAGAGAGTAAGGCCCGGTCATCTTCAGCAGTTGTCTCTTAAAACAATGGGCACGCTTTGGTGTGTTAAGCATGTACCAACTATAGGAAGTACTGGCTAGTTTACTGTACAATCAAATGTTGCCTGATGCAAAATTGTGTTTTGACATCTGTGCTGGTCTTGAAATTAGGCAAAGAACAGAGTAAGTTGTTGCTAAAAAAAAAAAACCGTGCTAAAATGTAAAATTTGATCTTTATTTAAAAGCGGAAAAGCAAGCACTCTTTCCAAAGCTATCAAAGTATATTTTCACATTATACTGATTTTTCAGTAAGTATTTTATTTACTTACTTCTATCAATACAGATACATTTATAGAAGATGAACATTTGTGAGATTGGTGAAAATTAGTTTCAGCTATTATCTGCACACATGCATGATTATCATTCATAATCACTTAGGATTATGAATGATAATCATTCATAATCATAAGGTAAAGCAGTTCACTATATGCTTATGAATTGTTGAGCCTTTGGGCGTGTTTGGATGGATAGTGGTGCTTCAAGTGAGACAATGAAATCTCCCATTTTTTCTGTAAAAAAAAAATCTTCCCATTTAGGTAGAAATGTTAATTTCTCCTCTTTATATTTATTTGAATTTATACATACAAAAAAAAAACTGCAAAGTCGTAAAACACAGTCAACAACTGAAGCACAACATTTTGTCTGGTGGCATCATTACGCATCAGAATGTTTATTAATGTGTCATTTATTATGTTTCAAAAACTAAAGCAGGTAGGTTTCGAGTAAGTCAGTGTTTCAGCTGTTTTGCAGTTTTCTGGAAGTTTGTTCCAGATTAGCGCTAGCTCAACAGAATTCAACCTGTGCACTTTGCACGTTAAGCTGATTTTGCTAGGGCTTTCTTCAAGCAGAGGCAGTCACAGTATTGTCACAGTATCAACTTTTCTAAACACCAATGTAAAAGAAAAAGAGCCACACAGGAGCCATTAAAGAGCAGGATGCGACTCGAGAGCTGCAGTTTCGCCAGCGCTGACCTGTAGGAAGATCGCTGCTAATGTTTGTTATCGTGATTAAATCTTGTACAGAAAAGACCTTCAGACCCGATAACCTCCCAATCGCAGCTAAATAAGATTTTATAAAACATTTGGAAAGGGGCAAAGGATTGCTCTACCGTTCACGTCCAAGTGAATGGGCTTGCTTTTTTTCTTTTTTTTTTGAGCCTATATTAACATTACATTTATTTGTCTGTGCTGCAGTAAAATACCAAAAATATGTGTAATCCCTAAGTTGGGCAATAAAGCCAACAAGGAAGAAACACAGATTCTGTGATGTTTTTTTTTTTTTCTCCTACGTGCTTTTTGCTGAAATGAAAGGCGTTACTAGTGTTCAGTTGTGCTGAATAAAGAGCTTGATAAACTTTCCTCTTTTGCACTCACAAGTGGTGATCATATTCTTCGTCTTTTTTTTTTCTTCTTGTTCTCTGATTCAATTTGTTTCATTTTCACATCTTTTTTTTTTTTTATTATTAGTTTTCCCGCTTCTCTTTCCTTTCCCCTATAAGAAGCTTTGGCCTCCCCAGAAAATTCACTTTCCACTTCAGTGGCCCAGATAATTCAAGAAGGATTTTCGGGAGAACAATTTGATGATCAAAGTGAAGCTCGACGCTCAGAAGGGAAAAAGGGTATTTTGAATCGGCTCTCCCTCTGTGTTCCAACATTATGTTATAGCCTTTCATTACTGTATAAAACCCCTGCTAAGGTAGGATTACTTTAGTTCAGACAATAAATGGTAGAGAAGCCAAACAGCAAAAGAAGGGGGAAGGAGAGATGTCATTTTAGTAATGAAACTTAAAGTTTTGCACAGACTGAACCTTTAGCGCTTCTTTATTTCGCC